TGTGAGCCAAGAAACATTTATGAAGGGATTCAGGGAAACCGGCAGGCTGGACTTGAGTCCTGGAGATGGGAAGTACAGTGTCTGCAATCTGAAGGAGGGGTGCTAATGTTGCAGTTTTATAACTGTAACATGAGCATGCCTCTGGCAAGACAGTGATGGAGTGAATAATGATGAATTTTTTTCTTTTTTGGGCCACCCTGCCTTGGTGGGAATCAGCTGACATGTTAATAAATAAAAAAATCAGAGTAAATGAATCTAATTAATATTTGTCACCTGTTACCTGTGCAAAAAATTGTGAAATTACTTGCCAAGATGCCTGCAAATTCTCAGATTTACATACCTGTTATATATCTGTAACTGGTTTCAAAAAGTTTTTCTACTCTCATTGACTGGCGTGGGGCCAGGTTTGTCTGTCGATTGCTTGGTTATATTATAGTATCATACCCAAATAACTGAAGATTTTCTGGAGATTCACAAAACTATTAAGGATGAAAAATCTCAAACAAATTTACCAGAAAATTCAGTACTAGCATAACTGTGAACCTGATTTTCCTGCCCATAAATCAACGACTGATGCAGAGATCATTGAGTATGTAAGAAATAAAACTGCTAGACTAGGTGATGAAAGAGATATAAGTGTTTAGGATGTAGGTGCTGCATTAGAAAGAAATATTTCCAACTGTGAGGAAATCACAACTTTTATGAAAAAGAATTCATACACAACTAATGTAGGTGGCCACAATATGAGATCTGTTCATTTGTGGAAGAAGTCATCATACCATCTCAGGATGGTATTTAGGGTAGTTCATTTTGAAAGAAATAAACATACTATGTGGTGTATGGGCCATTATGAAAAAATACCACACTTATATGGCATTTCTGAGACTGTAACTCCAACTAAGAGACTAGCCTAAGAGACTCTTTGCCTAGTGATGCAGTCTGCCATTATGGAACACATGTATTGCATTTTATATATGCAAAATGTTCATTTCATGTCACTGTCAAACTCATGTCTAGGAAAAAAGCACTGACACTGAATAAAATTAGTTTCAAGTGTGCAATATAACACGTACAAGATACTTCCTTGATTTAGATAACTAATGAACCTGATTTAGATAACTAATTAATGAACACTCTCAAGCAAGCTACAAATACAAAATTATCTTATTATTAACAAGTTTAACCCTTTCAGGGTCCAAGGCCAAAATCTGAAGTGGTGCCCCAGTGTCCAAGAATTTTAAAAAAAAAAAAAAAATTGGTTATTTTTTCTTATGAAATGGTAGAGAATCTTTTTGTGAAGGTAATAAAACAAAAAGTACAAAATTTGATGGAAAATTGACGAAATTATGCTCTCATGAATTTTGATGTATCGGCGATATTTACGAATCGGCGATTTTGCCGACTTTGACTCCCATTTTAGGCCAATTACATTATTCCAGTCAACCAAATTCTTAGCTATTTCACTAGTATTACTTCTATTTTATCGATTGAGCACAAGAAATCGCAAAGTCAACTGTTTCAATTACAAAATAAAGTGATCGGAAATTGATAATTTGGCCAATTTAACACAAAGTTCAAAATATTCCAATTTTAAAATAAGGTCCAGAATAAACAATGCAGGTATTCCTGGCACTAAACTAACATTTCCTCTGTTCATTAGTTACGTTTTGAGGCTTTACAAATAAATTCCATTTTGATTTTTTATTCACATAATGAATTTTTATTCACACCAAAAAATTGAAGATTTACTGCTATGCAATATTGTAATAATTGTATAAATATCATCACCACATTTGTGAATGTATATTAGACCCACCAGCTGGCATGTATTAGATGTGTGAGGTCGTTTGTTTACTCTTGAACATCGGCAAAAATTTAACATTTCCACTACTTTGAGCTCAGTTTCAAGCCATTTCCAGTGCTAAAACCAATCAAAATCATCTCTATTTCTGTAACATGTCTTCCATTCTATCAAATGAGACCAAGAAATTGCAAATACAACTATAAAAAACATACGAAAAAACACTGCAAAGTCACTGTTTTAATCGAAAATCACGGTCTCAGTTTTTTCCTCTCATTATACACAGTGTACTGCAGGATTTGTTTTATGTGGTGCACACATACCACATAGATGTATTCTCTCATATCTAGGCCCAAATTTACCACTCACAGTTTATCAGAGTGAGCTGAGCTCATGGCATAGATCTACGGTTTGGACCCTGAACGTAAAGCCATAGATCTAAGGGACGGACCCTGAAAGGGTTAAAATAAGTTTGCCTCTTATCCTCGTGGAACCTTGAGTTCACATAACTCTATTACAAAGGCTTAACAGAAGAATACATACAAAAAGTGATGATGGGCCAAAGACATTATTCAAGGGTTACCACACAGACATGGGGACTGAAAAATATATTTCACACTACAGAATTATGATGTGGGGACTATATATTATGTTCTATTTTATCATATTTATTACAATATAATATCACATATTACTCACCAATATCTGCCCTAAGAACTAACATATCTTCTATATCTTCTTCTTCTTCAACCATTAATTGGTCTCCACCTCCCGCTGCCTCAGCTCGAAATATGTCGGCACATGACACTTTCCCTCGTACTTGTGACTTGAGTTTTCTAGAATGTTTCTCTGTATTAGCAGATGTATCTGACACTGCAGCAACTAGAGTCTTTTCCGTAGAAACCAGTTCCTGTTTTGAAGACAATAATTTAATCTTCTCTTTACTTTCTTTTTCTTTAACTGTATCTTTTGACTTTGTTGCTTTAACTGATTCGACATTAATTTTTTTCTCCCTCGATGATTTTTCTTGAGAATCCGGAGAGTCTGACTTTTTTACTTTTTTTTCTTTTCTGTCAACTTTTCTCTCACTTGATTTTCTTTTTCTATCTGCTTTCTCTTTTTCCTTTGCCTTCCTTTTCTCTTCATCCCTTATCTTTTTCATTTCTTCAGCCTTTTCCCTTTTCTTCTCTTCATCCCGTTCTCGCTTCTTCTCTTCTTCTCTATCTCTTCTCTTATCTTCTTCAGCATCTTTTTTTTTGGGTTCTTCTTGTTGTGCTGTTGTGACTGAAGAATGAAGAAAATATACACAATTTATGGAAACCTGTAGTTTAATAAGCTAAACACTAAGAATGAAATACTGGAAGATAAGACTTTTCCCAAAGATAAACATAAAAACAATAAACTTTATTTTGAAAGATATTATATAGGCATATGTGAGCATATAAGATGAGTGAGTGGAGTCTAAGTGATTTTAATGTTTCCATGTGCTGTTATAGTGTAAACGAATTCAAGAAAACCAGTTAGCCAAACTCAAATCCTGGAGGTGAGTCCCCCCACCCTTCCCTCAGAGTGTGTGCATTCTGAGGGAAGGGTGGAGGTGTTACAGTTTGAATGATCATTTGTACTATAATATCAAACATCTGGCAAAACAGCTAATAATGAATGTTGGTGAATGTTTTACTCTTTTGGGTCAGCCTTCCTTGTTCTGAGATGGCTGGTGTTGTAAAAAAAATTTATATTATCCTACAAACTTTATATGTATATATTTATTAAAAAAAAGACTTATAGTACAGATAAATTTGCATTGGTTAACATTACTAGAGAAGCCCAATATACAAAAATCATTTGGATGTAAATTTGGCCATAAAAAACAGAATATAAAACCTTACAGCTACAATTTTCTTCAGCTATTTATCATATAGATAATATGACTGGCTGGCAAATTGTGGAATGAGGAATTTTTCAGTCAACAAACATCTTGAGTCTGAGGTACATAAGAAAAATCTAATAAAAAATTCTGTTTTTGGCATGCTTTTTCCAGCTTTGCATTAATATTTGGTTATCATGACAGGCATACAGTTTCAGGTGAAGAGAAAAAAACACTATTTTTAAACTCGTCATCGCCTGATGACATAAGCATGAAAATTCAAGCTGAAGCTCATCTAAAAAAAATATGAACACTTGTATTCATAAATAATAAAAAATCAATGAAAAACTAGAAAAATGTGTGTAAGAAATTTTAAAAAATTTGGTACTATTGATAATTTACACAACAGGCATGATTAAGCTTTTGAAGCTTATCTTCAAAAACTAGAGAAGGTAAGTTCTCAACATTTTTCTTGGTTTTTGGAAGTGTGAATAACTTAACATGCAGCCCCGATAAGAGCTTAAGGTTAAAAAAAAAAGCTATCAGAGAGAAGGATAGCCACAGTAAGTTTCTCATTCTCAGGGCACTGAAAGCATCTGAGCCAAAACTTGGTGTGCTCTTTCATAAACAAGAATGTTGATCAAAAGATGTCGGACTGTTAGTACAAGCTGACAATTCTCAAAGAGTGGAGCTGGATGTTCATTTACAAATTTAGAGAAAGCTGCTGAAATGAATTGTAAACCCTAGAAAAGAAACCTCTCAGTAAATTGTATGTGTGCTGAAGAAAAGAAATCATGGCAATACAAGTTGGATGACTGAAAGCAGAGCTGTTAGAAGATTGAAAGCAGTTTAAAAGTTCAGTTAGACTAGGTCACTGTTGGTCAAGTTTAGTTATATGTTAAGTTAGGAAATAAAAGGTAGAGCTAGTTCCTGTTAAAATTTGGACAATGCAGGACTGATACTGTAGATCCATATCTCAATGATAAAGTCAGTGAGCCTTTATATACTGTGCCTGCAACATCTCAATTTAATTTAGGACCAAAATACACTAAATGTCCCAAAATTCAATTTAGCCAAAAGAAGAATCTTACCTTGTAAAAGTGCAGCAGCATTTAACTTCTGTAATACATGGTGAAGCCAGGAGGTGAAGCGTTCAGTGTTATGACCCAGGAAAAGGCTTAAATCATCATCCATCTGGTCTTTAGTCTTCTTATTGGCAACCAGCACCATGATGTAATCTGGTAATTCCTCATCTACAAAGACATACATTGACTTTACTATCTTTTTCATATACAAATAATGAGGGTCTCTGGGTTTCCACCTCTTTTCCGGGCAAGGTACTCATATCTTACCTGAAACCTATACACTACAACAACAGCAGTAATAGAATAACAACCAGTGAGTGAAGGCTGTGTTAAGCATGACTGAGTACTCAGACTGTACCAGGAAAAGGAGATGTAGGTATTCAGTATGAATAGATGTTATATAATTAAATTCAACTGGGTCCTCCAAGGATCCCAGCAATAAAATTTGTACACATGACAGATATCAGAACTAGCAAATAATTAAAATAGAGTGAAATGAATACACTCGTGCCAGTGCATATGAATCAAGATGATACTAAGTGGAGCTAGAAGGGAGAAATACTAAACTTAACATCAGGCATTTTTTAATATTAAATGCATAAAAATTAAACAAGTTAAAAATGGCAAGCATCACTTATAAAATGAAGGAGCAACAGATTAAAAATACAGGTTTAAAAGAGTAAGGCAAACCTTTCAGGTGTAACAAGGTGTGATGGGAAAAGTACGAAGTACATTAGTACATAAACATAAATGATAAAAATAGGTGTAGAAAGAGGATATGTGAATAATACAGGGAAAAGTACTGTGCTATGCAGTAAGAAATGAAAGATTAAGACAATCAGGGTTTCACTTATAGACTGTTATGGGTAAATGGAAATAATGAATGTTACCAGCTTTTTAAAAAAAAAGCAATAGAAGACAAAAATAAAAAACAGGGAGAGAACAAAGACTGATGAATATTTTAAAATGTGTATACCCAGTACAGTATATACATTACACATGCAGTCACTAAGAGAAATTTAGTAACAAATTAGAATACTGCATAGCATTTCAGATACAGATCACTTACCTACATATGTCCCAAGCTCTACCAACTTCGCCTTTATGGCAGACTGAAAATAAATAAAATTAAATATGCATTAGTGGAATCGGCATTTGTTCATATTAATACAGTACTTGTTCACCTTTTCATAATTAAAAACAATCTGGCACAGAAATTGAGAAACATTGTAGCAGGCCTACTGGCCTATACTAGGCAAGTCCTTCTTAAAACCAAACCCTTTAACAAAGTTATTTGCCCAACCCCTTCTCAAAGCTACCTAAGGAATATGCTTTGATAGCCCCACAAACTCATATAGGAGAAGACATAAGGAAGCATCAAACACCTGGGAATTAAACACTTTTTTGGCTGGCAGTACTATTTTTCTTTGAAATGTTTACAGCACATGTCACAACAGCACTCATAATCTAACTACATACTCATGACTTGCATGCTATAAATTTTATATTACTTACAACAATGCTCCTAATTTGATTATAAAATGTATAATTCATATTACTCACAGCAGTGTCCATAAACTGATATTGACAAATCGGGTGACCTAAAATATGAGGAAACACATTCATCGTCATTCACTCTACTGCCGTCTTGCCAGAACTGTGCTGACATCACAGTTCAGTTGGCCCTCCAAACTGCAACATCTTCACCCTTCCTTTAGAGTGCAAGTACTCAGTAATATTTACTATATAAAGACAAATTTTTAATATGCATTCATGTGCCAAATATTTTTTACTCATGCTTCAAAATATGGATTGGAAGATACCAAAATTTTTGCCAATACACTTACACTCAATTTTACACTGAAACCAATACCATTAACCCTTTGAGGGTTTTGGTCGTACTAGTACGTCTTACGCGTAGGGATTTTTGTCGTACTAGTACGCATAAATTCTAGCGGCCTCAAATCTCACAGGAAAAGGCTGATAAGCCTAGGTGTGAGAGAATGGGTCTGTGTGGTGGGTGTGCGCAGTAGGAAAAAAATCTGGGACCCAGTGGTGCATTGTGGGAATGCCATCATAGTACACAATTTCCACCATGCCCTGTGGTAAGAAGTTCCTCACTCCTCGGCGAATTGGGACACTTTTGTTCCCCAGTGACAGTTCTAATACAGATGGAAGTGACAGTGAAGATGAGTTTCAAGGTTCTGGTGAGGTTTTGACCGAAACTAATGACCATAATATGGGTAATAGTGAGGAAAACCCAGACAACCCACAGCCTTCCACCTCTGGTGCTGGGCCATCTTGTTCACGTTCAGTTGTACCAGAATCAAAGAGGAAACTCCTATTTTCCAAAATCCCAGACTCAGATGTGAGCATTGGTGATGATAGTGATAGTGATTATGAACTACAAGCTCTTCAAACTTGTTCCAAGAATGGAGGAGGAGGAGGAGGCAGAGGAGGAGGAGGCAGAGGAGGAGGAGGCAAGAGGAGGAGGAGGCAAGAGGAGGAGGAGGCAAGAGGAGGAGGCAAGAGGAGGAGGAGGCAAGAGGAGGAGGAGGCAGAGGAGGAGGAGGAAGAAGAAGAAGAAGAGGAGGAGGAGGAAGAAGAGGAGGAGGAGGAGGAGGAGGAGGAAGAAGAAGAGGAGGAGGAGGAGGAAGAAGAAGAGGAGGAGGAGGAAGAAGAAGAGGAGGAGGAGGAAGAAGAAGAATACATAATGATAACAATAATACATAATAATAATAATACATAATAATAATAATACATAATAATAATACATAATAATAATAATAGGTAATAATAATAATAATAATATGTAATAATAAATGTTCACCCCTGACAGTAACAAGATAAGGGGAGATAACATCTGATAAGTGCTGACGTTTGATGAGGGTAAATGAGGGTAGAGATGATGCCAAAAGATGAGATAAACATCTCCCTCCCTTTGTTTTTGCTGGTATACTAACATTTCTGTCTGTCTATTTGCCTGTCTGTCAAGCTCCCTGTCTATCCGTCTAGCTCTCTGTCTCAGAGAGCCACAAGACTGTGTCATCACTTTTACTCACATCTTCAAGCAGAGTATAGCACTTTGTCTGGGTTTCTTGGGTTATCCTAGGTAATTTATACTATGTATACTTGTATTTATGTGTACCTGTGAGACAGAGATAAAAAGACAGATAGCAAGAGAGAGACAGATTGAAAGAGATAGAATGAGGGAGAAAGATAAAACACCATTGTGTATGACACCATGTTTCAGAGTTCCACAAGCTGCAGAACTAATAGGAATATGTTCAGTGACTGTATATTGGTATATATATTATAGAACAATAATAATAAACAATGTTTGTATTGTTTGTTTTTTGTAAACAAGTTTTGTAAACAATATATTGATAATTATGTTTGTGTGCTTATTGTGTTGTATACAACGAGTGTATATATGTACATTGCACCTTACTTTGGTCTCATAGGCCACATAAGTTATGTGAAAAAATAAAATAGTGAAAAAAACAACAAACCTTCAAATACAAGTAAACTAAAGTTTACCGGGTGAGCGGCAGTCGCCGCTGTTGCCATACGCGGCTCATTTTCTGCAAACTTCATGCATCCATATCTCCGTAAGTATTGATGGTAAATTTTTTTTGTTTATCCTATAATGTTTAGAAAAAAAAAACTATTTTTTCATAAGAAAAAATAATTTTTTTTTTTTTTTAAATTTGGCCGACCCTGAGAACGAGTTTCGGAGAGGGCCTGTCGACCCTCAAAGGGTTAAAATTAGCTGATGGCCACCAAGACTGATACCAATGCTGATACCAGTGCCATTAAAATTAGCTGATGCTCATAAATCCTAAGACCAATATTCGATTTGAGGCTGATACAAATACCATCAAAATAAGTAGATACCAATACTGATACTTTGGTACATCCCTAGTTCAAAATATTTTGTTGGAATAAGATTTGATAATTCTAATGGGAGCTCAATGGAAAAATAAACCTCACTACAACAGTCTCTCTTTAAGAAAGGAAAAAAATTCCCATTTATACTTTATCACTGAGTAAAGCTTCCCTTTACTGCACAATATAATTAAGCTTATAGTGAAACTCTACATATTATATAGTATTTCCAATCTTCTATTTGCATAATTGTTTTTATACCTTCGTCATAAAACATGCATATCTCAAAGCTATTTCTTCTGGGAGGAGAAAAGTTAACTTACTGCACAGACTATATGACTCATCTACTTAAGAATATAAGAACAGTGGAGAACTGCAGTAGGCCTAATGTACCCATGCTACACAGGGCCAATTCACATCCAATCACACTCACTCGTGTATCTGCAAACCTATATTTAAAGCTACCCAAAGTTTTTGTTTCTAATGTAGGAAATATCTACAGGAAATTTCTACTCTAGGATATTTCTAGGGTTGAGGTTTGAGGTTACTTAACCCCTAAACGGTCCAAACGTTTATGTATGTTCTTACCGCTAGTGCCCTAAACATATATATACATTTTATATCACAGGCGGGGATAGAACCTGCAATCAAAGAGTCTCAAAACTCCAGACCGTCGCATAAGCCACTGGACCAGCTAGGCTCTATCCCCACCCGTGGTATGGTTCGTTTGCAATCGTGTCATTACGATTTCGTGAGTCATATACATTTTATTTTTCCTGCCTCCAAATTTGGCACGATTGGCCTGAGATGCCTGGTCAGCATAGAATGGGTCTTAACACTCGGTGAGCACCATATTAAAAAAATCTGGGACCACTTAGTACCTTGTGGGAGTGCCAGCTAGAGCAAACAGTGTGGCAAACACCAAGGATTCACTGATGTAATGTCATATTAACACTCCCCTTTTAAGAGGAAACTGATACATATTAACCCCAAGTTTAGGGTCTGTCTATCTGTCTCTATATCTATCTCTATCTCTCTTTATCTGTCTCACAGGCACACACAAATACAATCATAGTGTAAATTACCTAGGAAAACCTAAAAAATCCGAAGTGCTATACTGTGCTTGTAGATATAATGCATAAGAATACCTGTTGGTTCACAGTGGCTCTCTGAGACAGAAAGAGAGACAAGCAGAGAGACAGAGAGAGACAAGCAGACAGAGAGACATGACAGAGACACAGATAATCAGAGACAGAGATACGAGATCATCAAATGTCACCCCTTATCTTATCTCTGCACCCTTGTTGGCGCCCATCAAATGTCATCCCAAGGCAGGTGTAAACATCCACCTGTCAATGTGTTTGTGACAATCTGAGTACAATTTCGGTACCTAATATTAGTGTCAGAACAAAGATTGGTTATGAAATGACAAGAACTACAATAAATTGTAATTATCGGAACATAAAAATTATATAAAATATAAAAATGAGAAAAAAACGTACATCTGCAACACTTCTGCAAGCGGCAGGGCTCGATGCTGCCATCAGGCGAGCATTAAGTGCCAACTTTGCAGCCTCATATCTCAGTATGTACTGACCCTATTTTTTTTTTAATTTTAATCCTATAACAAAAATTTTCTCTTTATTTCATTGAAAAAAAAAAAAACTATTTTTTTATTTTTCAAAATATTTGGGGCACTGGGCGAGAGAACATATATATAAGTTTGGACCGGTTAGGGGTTGAAGTTAGTTAGGCTAGGCAATGTTAGTTCCAACAATTATAATAATAATAATATCTTTATTTACTATAATAATAATAATAATAATAATAATAATAATAATATCTTTATTTACTATAATAATAATAATAATAATAATAATAATAATAATAATAATATCTTTATTTACTATAATAATAATAATAATAATATCTTTATTTACTATAATAATAATAATAATAATATCTTTATTTACTATAATAATATACGTACTAATATCATCTTTATTTACTACATATACAAGGTATACAGGCCTAGCTAACATCAATGACATACTACTATACAGAAAGTCCCTTGTTATGCAGAGCATTTTGGGCAAATTGGGTCAGTTTTGTTCCAGGATGTGACCCACACCAGTTGACTAACACCCAGGTACCCATTTTACTGATGGGCGAACATAGACAACCGGTGTAAGGAAATACGTCCAATGTTTCCACCCCTTTGCCG